CGATGAAAGACTTGTCAATAACACACTGCAAGGCTCACGATTGTCATGTGATGCTGATAGTGTTTCTACCTATTGCAATCAGGGCTATAAAGCCAGAGTTCTTGAAAATGACCATCACCCGCATGTGCTACTTCTTTTCAAAGATCTCACAGAAGACAATTGGCAAGCAAGAGCTGAGTGACCTACATGAATTTGTGGTGGAGACATAAAACCAACTAGAGATGTGTTTACCTCCTACTTTTTTTGATATAATGCCATATCTCATGATTCACATGGTTCATCAGATACAGGCGTTGGGCCCTTGCTACTTGCATGAAATGTGGTCCTACGAGCGGTTCATGTCGGTTCTAAGTCGATACGTGCATAATCGAGCATACCCAGAGAGCTCCATGATAGAGGGTTACAGTACTGAAGAAGTCGTCGAGTGCTGTCAACGAGCATAGACCTCATACAAGCATGCTTCCCCACCGGCACATTTAGAAGCCCAGCCGAGAAAATTGTCTTTGACTTCAATGACATGCAGACATGCTTTCACCTCGGAGCAATGGAGATGAATCTAATTCGCACATGGTGCCTGTAAGTCCTTATCCTCCCGATATGATATGAATGTAATCTTTGAATTTTGTTGTAACTAACCCACGCCGTGATTTGTAGAATGCAAGTGCACATTGTCAAACAAATGCCAAGCGTGAAAGCCGGGTATACAAACCCTCAAGCTATAGCACAAACAAATTTTAATTATCCTAAACAGTGAAAACTGGATGCCAAAGATCTAGCTGCTGAAAAGACTCTTCAGGAGAAAGAGCACATCCGTACGGCGAAACTAAGGGAAGAATCCCTTAAGGTTTCGGCATACATTGCCATGGCTTTTAAAATTCTCCAACAGCACTCTACTATATGGTTACCATACAATTTCGAGTAAGTTCAACTCTATACTTAAAGCTTTGTTCGATATATTTTATTCGATGCAAAAGAGCTTATCTAGTTCTATGATTAAATCCATGCAACAACCACTGGATTTGTATAGGCGTCGACGTCGGGAGGAGCATGGCATGGGTCTTTGATTCAATAGATAGGGACCCGGTGACATACAAAGACTTCATATCGATTCTCAAGACGTATACATATCGACAATCCTCATTAGCTTATATGTTTGTATACATATTTGTAACATTCACTTTTGGATACTAACAAGTTGTATTTGCTAAAATAATTCGAACATGGCATTTAGGTTTTATGTCACTAAACATCACGGAAGGCATGATCCAGTAAGAAAGAAAAAGCTGGCTATAAAACACTATGTGCGGTAAGTGTAACTTACTTCTTCAGTACTCCATTACATGGCTGTCAAAAACATTGCTTAACATTTTCATATGCAAAACACACAGTGCTCCAAGCAGAAGCCTGTGAGTGTATATTGTGGATACTATGTATGTTCTATGATGAGTAACACCGGTGCCTACAGGAGACACCCCTTAAGGGTAAGTTTGAATATCTTCATCCGTAGTATAAAAACTTCGTACATGATATGAAATACTAAATCGAAACTTGTTCTCTTATAGTGGAAAGAAGAGAAAGAAATGAAAAGAGACGTATACAAGGATGACCAACTCTTAGAGCTCGTCGGCGACCTTTGCAACTCCATATTGGACCAGATTGTACACGTCAAAGACACCTACCATGACCGAGAGTCTGACTGAGGTAGAAATCATCAGTACCAACACCTTTGTGAGACTGAAAGGCTAGCTCTAAAACGTTGATAACAATGTGTATGAAATTTGACATTGATTTTACCTTGTGAATTATGTCTATTTAATGACGGATTGTATATATTCTTGTGAATTGGACTTGTAATTGTAATTTATATAATACTCTTGTGCTTGTAGTTTATATAATACTCTTGAGCGAACGCGGTTCGGAACGTTGGTCGCGGGACGTTCGACGGGATTATCTCGCTTTCCTCGCTCACGTTGGTCGCGGGGCGTTCGGCAACGCGAACGCTGGATGGAATACGCGGAAACAAACAGTGTTCTGGTCGAATTTGAATTGTAAATTTGATTTTTTTACGGGAAAACGTACTGTAAAAGCGGTTCTAGACTGAACCGCCCCTACAAACAGGTATTATAGGGACGGCTGGTACTACAGCTGTCCCTACAAATCGATTTGTAAGTGCGGTCTGAGAACCGCCCCTACAAATGGTCTTCCGCCGCCCCTACAAAACGTTTATGTAGTAGTGGATGACCCCGATGAAGTTGTCATGACGCATCCTGGGCTGTTTATGATCCCGCGTGAGGAAAGATTGTTAGATATGCTAACGGATCGAAAATTTGAAGAGGCTGCCAAGGAAGATTCGTAGCTCTTGACCTTATGCGCAAAATTGATGATCTTAACACAGTAGTCAAAACAAGATCTATGCCTGCCATCAGACGCAGCGCCGAGCGTATTGAAACCTCTATATCAGACTACATACATCTATACTTTCGGAGTGCCATCCGGTAAGTGATGTTCTAATTTATTTTACTTGTAATAGTTATTGCAGCGTATTGTCCACATGTAGTTTTTCTGGTTTCACAGCTGACAATTTCATGATCTGAATGTATATTGCTGTGTTGTGCACTTTAATTCTGCAGCCGGGACAATGACGAAGTTGAAGGATTATGGCAGTTCGCAAAAGATAAACGGGCTAGGCGGCATGCATTTAGGTGCCTAGCCTGTGGGTGGATCTGTACTGGATCACGCAGCATTTCACATATGAGATCGCACATCGTGCAGTCTAAAGACTGCGAAGGCTGTTCTAAAGTAACGGAGGACATGTTAGATCGTCTGAAGGCTATAGATGAGACAAAGGGTGTCCCAACTTTGGAAACCGTTGAGTATTTATCCAAAAACAGGAAGACGTTGTCAGAATCTGTATCATCCACACCTGATATACAGCTGGAGTCTTTCTGGATAAGTTTCATCAGCAACAGGTCCAAAGTCATCGTCTTCAACTTCTGTAAAAGATAAAAAAGCAAGAAAAGAACCCATTGGTGTTGCTAACTCACCTTGCCTTGGTACACCCGCAAAGAAAATGCAGCCTCCGCTGTCAGCCTCACAAGCTAAACGTCTCTATCAGATGGTGGAGGTGTTAATGAGTGAAACTGGTGCCCTTGCCCGACAGATTAGCACATCTGTGGTACCTGAAATTGAAGCCCGAAACTTCTTTCTGGGGAGAGTTTTTGATTTGCGGGAGGTGGCTATAGACTTGCAATCTTTTGTATTAAAATATAAATAAATGCAATTGTTGATGTTCCTGTCTCAGTACCGGGTTCCTCAGCACCAGTTCCTGAAGATGACCGAGGACGCAGCGAGTAGGTAGTCGGACTGGTGTAGCTCGGAATGAGAGATAGTATCTAGAACTTGGTTGTTCTTGATTTTTGTAAGAGCAAATTGATTGTACGGTGCTTCTTGTTAAATTCTCTTAACAATTAGCCTGATTCCTTATCGTCTGAAAAGATTAAGTTCTAAAGAGAGTTTTGTCAAGGAGAGAATGAGAACTGCACCGACCTTTTTTAATCTTTTTTTGAAAAAAAATCCATGTTTATACCCTTGAGCTAACTTATATCCGTCTTTGGACGCTAGGGTGGTGCCACGAGTCACAGCGCTGAGGTAACATGTCTTGGCACCATGGCTCATGGCGTCAAGCTTCGAGGCCAGGCAGTGGCGTGGCGGTGATATGGCGCTGACGTGGTTAGAGCTCGGTGCCATGATGCAAGTTTGGGTGTTAGCGCTGACCTCAGCGCCCCGAGGTTTGAATCTAACCCTAATTTACTATGACTTTTACCATGACTTAGTCACATGAAAATTTAACTAAGTCTCAAAATGTACCGTGAGAGGGACATATGCAGATTTCACAGCCAAACTTATACCTTCAAACTAGTATAATTATATAGGTATGCATGAGAAATTCATGTGTAATTTTACCTATTATATACATTACTAACAAATGTGCCTGTGCGTTGCAACAGAAGCCAATATATCTTGGAGTCGGACTTTGTTCTAATTCGTATGACGGTATGATCACCCATGAGTACAAATCATATTATTAGACACAAGTTGTTCTAATTCGCATGTACAACTGAGACATACATTTATTTATATTTAGATTGGGTATCGGTTTGATCCCCCATAGTTGACCTCAACAAAAATATTTAGATTGGGTAACAAATTGCTCATGATTTTAGCTTTACGATTTGATTAGCGGAATCATCGACTGATCCTGTTACCAAGATAATTTTATTCTTAATCAAAACTATATCGATAATTTAGTGATAATATTTGTTTATGAGGAAAATGTCAAAGTTCAAATACCCATAATATCAAAATTTATCATTTGTTTTTATGTTTATATATAAGAAGATATACTTAATAAAAAAAGAAAAATACGGAGGGACGACAGAGAAAAAATGCCGAGCCGGTGTCAGCGTCGCCGATGATGCCAATACCGGCATTCGGAAGCATCCGTCCCATCCAGTTCTGTGCATGTCGTTGCCATCGAAGTGCGAGCCAGGCTTCCTTCTAGAGGGAAAGGGACAGAAGCTTCCCCTCATGGATAAATGGATAATGGATTTGTCGGCCCTGTGGCTAACTCGGCTACTACGCGATGACTGACGATGCGCACCGGCCGCCTTGGTTCGTCTGTGCATCGGTTTAGTCAGTTTCCTGTACATTATTGTGCCCTTGGTATCTCAAGTCGTGACGACCTTTGCTGACCACAGAAGCCCAGAACACAAACGTTGACCAAACTGAAAAAAAAGAATCAACATATGATCCAAAGAGCCCACAACAGAAGTGAGCTCTGGAATTCCAAACCTGTTGAGCTCTGGATGAATCTTAGATCCTGTAAATGGGAAGAACAAGGACAACTTTCGAAAAGAATAGGAGCTCTAAACACGAAAACTGGTGCCCTCACTCCTCACAAACCGTTACAGTTTTCAGGAGTCGAGACGACCGCGTCCAGGCTAAAAAAGCTGGACACCAGACTTCAATTTGTTCTGCTTCCACTTGGGGAGCTTGTAGAACGCCGCCCTTGTCATGTTGAATTTGTCATTGAACTCGGCTGACGATAAGTAGGCCTGCATTTAGTTGATAACAGTAAATGGCATCATCATCTGACCTGACAAATGTATGCGAATGGAAGGTGGAAGATATCAGTTTGTCACCTCTCGTTTGGTCAAGTCGATGTCAGGGGCAGGATCTTCAGCTGTGGTTGTCAGACGTTCATATGGGTAGATCGTGCCTTCATCATCTTCTTGCTCGTTTTCATTTGCACTGCTTGCGGCACCTTCCCCCTGTATCGCCTTCTCTGGCTCATGGCTCGCTTAGTTTTGCAAAAAGATTCAGAAACGGGAGAGATAAGGAACTGGAACATTTGCTATCCATGTTCTGTCAGAATTGAAATTTAAAGAGCTGTATTCACTATACCTTTTACCGATTTTGGTATTGTACTTTTCAAGGGACCTTCAAAAGAGCTGGTGAGGGCACTCATAGCTGATTTTTTGGGTGACACCCTTGAGTGTTCAGGGCCTCCAGATTTTGGGAAAAGCTTTCTCACAGCGGGGGGAGGGGTGGAAAGGTTCCTAGTATTGCTTTTGTTTGTGTTCTCAAAGGCAGAAGTTAACATATTGAAGGCTGGAGACCTTCCACGAACAAGTGGACGATCCGGGCTAGTGGACATGCTTCTTGAACGCTGAGATTTATCTTGTCCCGAACTTCTTCCCATAAATGCTGGTGTTCGTCGTTTTGGTTTCTGAAAACATGGAGATAGTAAGAGAGTTGCTTTTAGATAGTGGACTTGAACTCAGACACCAGTTTAGCCACCCTGTAGTCCTATGAAACCTTATGGTCAGCATATATATGTTGAGGCTCAATCATACAAATGACATACTAGTCCTACTTAAAATGCTGAAAACCTGAATTTGTGATCATCTATATACCCGCACAAGAAGTTAATAGTGTCGAAAAAGGCAAAAGTATCAATAAACATGGAGATCATGAATAAAAAGTTAATTTGCAACCAAATACTGGGATAGAAACTAATACTAAATTCACAAGAAGCAGGTAGAAGATGATTTCCACCGAGCTACTGGAAGATCATTTGTTTGAGACTTACTTCCAGTGATGGAGGTGCTCCACCCTTTAGGACAGCAAACTTCCTCTGGTATGAACTGCCATGCATCTGCAACAAAAATTCAGAAGTGTAAAGATGAATTAATTTCCAAAGCTAAATAGCAGGCAGGAATACATAGGTGTAAATCTCATGGAATAGAATTGGTGTTAATTCACAATAAGCAAGTACATGACACATAAACTACTTGCAAGAGATTTTTTTTGAAAGATTACTTACAAGAGATTTTGCGCAGTCCCAGTTGAAGAATCTAGTAAAAAAATGTGGCTCGCTACCTTCTGACACAGTGAATATTGGTGTTTCTCGTGATAGTTTCTCCATAAGGAAATCATGAACAAGAAATTTCTGGCAGTTACAGTGACAAAGAAAGTGAGAAACAAATAAAAATTGTAATTACTAATTAGACTATGGAGGATAATTTTGGCTTAACCTCTCCAATATCCATAGCTTGTGATTTCACTTTGGCATCCACCTCCTGGCCAACCCAAACAAATATGTCTGAGTGACAATCAAGAACGAAAACATCCTCTGTCATCAGATCATCCTGAGTAAAGTTGTGTATTTCTTTGACCTGATATACATTTTAAAATCAATGTTTGTATTAGACAAGAAATCAAGAAAGCACTTAGCGATAAAACCTTGACATCTTTGTTTTCCTTACCTTTATATTGCCTTCACGACAACAACATTAGTAGCCAAAGAAGAGAAGTGTCAGCAGATGTTGAACAGTGAATTCAACCTAGAAAATCCTTGTGTGCAGTTACCTTTGGATATGATGCATGAGAAAAGATGGGGGTCACTTTCATTTTCTCTTCCAACTTTTTGGTTTGGATACTTGGATTTACCACCCAGTAGTTCCCAGAATTGGTCGGTTTCTCTCCCCTCCTTTTGTGACCTGGAAGGCAGATCTGGCTGTACAATAAAAAACAGAAGCACAAAGAAGAGTTAAGACAAATGAAAAGCATAATGAATTCAAATACGCAGAACATGTGACACAAACAAAAGCGCCATTGAGCATTGCTTCATGTATAACATACTCGGACTATTTTTTTTATCAGAAACATGGAAAACCTTTGCAGGGGGGTTTTAGTCAAGGTTTTACATTGATACCAAATTACCAATGTGCTAATCATCAGGAAATCTGCATAAGTACAAAGGTGTATTCACCCCAATGAGAAAGAATATTCAGACCTTAATTACATCTAGCTGCCTCTCAACCAAGTCATGATCCAATGAGGTCGTAGCGTTGCCAGTCCATGTGAACACGGTGTTTCCATTGTGTAGAATGTAACAATAGGACGAGTTTAAGGAGGAAGCCAGCTAACAAAAAGATGAGAAAGATTAAGATGCTCATTTATGAAGAGAAGACTAATGTTCTCATAAATATCTTGAAAAAGTATGCCAAACTTACTGTGTCTACTTGAAGTGCTTGCATGTTTTCTGATCCTGAACCCTGAATCCGGAATAGGGCAATCCCACCTTCAGAGTAAGTGTCATCCACAATATCATTTTCAACAACAAAGTTCTTGTATCCAGAGCTAAGGCCACCCTATATTGAAAATTCAGACAGAGAGGAAACATATAGAACATTCAACATGAAGTATGAGATTTTTCAGAACAGGTCAAGGATTTTGACTGCTAACTTGAAGCAAACCTTGAACACTTGAAGACTTTGAAATATGACAAAGAACTGAATTGGTTCTTTCCCTTCATAAAGCCGAACCTGTGCATTAAAAAATAAATTAGAGACCAAAAATATGATTTAAGATATAAATATTCAGAGAATTACCTGGACAGCCTGGAACTTTGCAGCCTGAACCATCTTGCTAGCCAGTGACATCGCTGACACCCTCTCCACCTGAAAGCAAGTAAGATCAATTCACAAGGAGCAACTTGACTCAAAAACACATTTATTAGAAACATAGGCAGATATAACAAGGAACAATGAAAATATCCCTTGACTTAAATAAATCCGTGTGGGTTTAAATTCCTGAGACCATTACTGATGTTGATTTTGTGCGCAGATATTACCTCAACACTTCTCTTCCCGAACCAAGTTCCAATAAGACATTCCTCCTTGTCATCTCCAGTATATGTGTATTGAAAATGTAACAATCCCCAGTGTAAAATTTTGATTGGTCAGCAGCTGAAAGAAGAGTCTTGCCATTTCCATTCACCCTCCATACCTGATGCCAATAGACAGGTTACAAAACCACCATGAAACTTGCACCTAAAATAAATGGATGAATGCTGTGGCAAACTTTTGCCTATTAACTTTGGTTGGAAGGCAGATATCAAAGGAGATGGGTGTAGATCGACGGTATGGTTGAATTTGGGATATTAGGAATCCCGTCATCCAGATGACATATTTTGCATACATGTATATTCAAGGTAGTTTTGTTTAGCTTGCACGAGTGCAGTTGGGAGCTTATCCAAATACGTGCATGTAAAATTCAACTAACCAAGCCTTGGAATTGGCATGTATTCAGACCTTTTTATCTACCTTTAATGAAATGACGCGCAGCTCTCCTGCGTGTTCGAGAAAAAAAGTGCAGTTGGGAGCTAGAACACAACCTTAGGGAGATAACTAGCAAAAAACAGCAAAGCCTTTGGTTTCAAGAAAGTTGGGGTAGGTTTGGGATGGAATCTAAAAAGATCCAAAACCAAGAGGAAGGTACTTAGCACCTTGCACAAAGAGCTATAAGAGTTGGAAAAGATAATACCTGCAAATGACCTGTGCAATCAATGTAAGGCTGGGGTTCTTCTTTTACAGGTGCGGCTTTCATCAAGCCTTTAACATCTAATCCTTGACTTTTGAGGAGAGCTGCAAGACGAAACAGTGGATAAAAGTGTGAAATTTGGCTATTAGCAATATCTTGCCCTGGAACTGATAATATGTAGACAATAACCTGCAACTTTGCCTCTTCCGTCCTCAGATGATAACTTCAAATCAGGTGTGGGTGGCCACTCAATAAATTTTGACTTGAACATGACTGTCTCGAATCCCTCGATCACTTTGATAACATGTGATTTTGCTCGGCTATCATCAATGAGTAGTTTCTGTATAGAGATAAAAGAAACTGAGCGTGCACAGATGCATAATACTGTAAAACATGAATATATTGTGAACCTTAAGAAAAAAATGTTTTACAAAATAATCATTATGAGTAGTGAGCCCAAGAAAAATAATTAGCTCTTTCCATTTTGAGAGTGAAGTAACTAGCTTTCCTTAAATTTGAGAGTAAAATAACTGTTTTTTTTAATAATATCTTAGAGTGGATATAATGAAGAAGCATTCGTTCAAAAAAATATAATGAAGATGCGTAAGTAATTTATGTAGATACCTCAGCAGCATTGCTCGCACCCTTTCTTTCTTGCAAAGAAGTACTTCTGCCCATCCAAACATACATTTCAGCACCGCAGTCAAGCAAGTAGCATTTGTTTGGCTCAAGTAACTCACGCGCCAAGGATTCAAAAATAATTTGTTCCAATTTTCCTTGGTTGATGCTGGGAAGTCAAATAAATAATTCATTCAATTTCATAATTTCAAGAGAAATTTAATCTAACAGATGGCATAATTTAAATAGTATATTATTGTTCTTGTTGACAACTAAAACTGATGCTTTGTGGACATGGGAAAAATGGTATTGATCTTTTAAAACAAATGGTAGTGAGATACCATATCAATTTGATGGCGATTTCCCTGTCTTCCTTATCCTCTGAAGGTGTCTTCCTTGGAAGAGGAGCGAAGCCCCCAAACAAAGCCCAAAATTCACCAGCTTCCGCATCAGCCATTAATTTCCCATCCTCTAGAAGAGAAATTTAAATTATCACATCTTCTTAAATGCAACTTCTGAATTTCTCATATTCTAGTACATTAATGTATTTGCTTACCAACCCCTGCAACTTCACACTTGCCCTCATGGAAAGTATCTTTGATATACTGTACAACTTCAAGAGCTTTTGCCCTCTCTTGGATGCATGAGTTGGAACCATTGAACTGGAAAATTTTGGACTTGGTATCCAAAATAAATATGTCCTCATGGTTAAGGGATGAACGAGTAAAAGGAACCTAGTCGTAAAATAGAAAGCATAATCAGCAAATGAGCAAACCTTGTTAGTTGGAAAAAAAATATATAGTGCTTTAGATAGCTCACCTCTTTAACATGGACAACATGTTTCCCTCTGCACACATATAAGCGGGTAACATGCTCCTGATCATTGACTTCTACATGGTTGAACCCAGAAGCTACCCCTCCTGGTTGTGGCATGATGCAAGGCCTAAAATATGAGAGAAACCTTTCAGTTTCATTGCCTTGTACTTCCCGGTACTGGACAGCACGTCCTCCAAGCGCAGCATCAAGCTCCACAGTTAAAATTGCAGCAGTTCCAGCCTCATCCTACCAAGGAAAAGAATGGACATTTTCTGAGAGGTGTCAATTAACAAAAAATACCAGTATAATATCCCTGAAGAGCAAAATCAAGTGATGCAAAATCAAGTGAAGAGCAAAATCAAGTGATGCAGGTTTGAAAATCTACCTGACTAGTGTCTTTACCAAGCCAATAATGGATGTCATGGCGAAAGGAACCATTTTTCAAAGCTGTTGTCTGCAGGGAACATAAGGAAACAATATTCAGTGCAGTAAAAAAAGGTAATACTGAGATCAACCATAAACAGACTGTACTGTCATGATGAGAACTTCATGGACAGTGAAGCATATCATGCACCATCAAGGGTTACATTAAACGATACAAGATGAGAAATAGAAAAAAAACTGAGAAAATATTTGTCACAGATTTCTCAGAGCCTCTAAGATTTTGTTTCAAGCAGGACCAACTATTTTACCTTTCAATTAAGATGCACCAATAATCTTCCTAAAGAAAGGGATATTCATAAAAAGGAATCAGTAAATCCATACCTTCAAGATGATATATGAATCACCCATGTAAAATTTTCCATGTGAAGATGTCGCCACAGGAACTGGCTTAAAATTCTCAATACGCCATACCACCAGACCGCTATAACAAAATTAAGGAGTACAATGCTTGTAGAAGGAACTATTATGAACAAAGCAGTAAAGTTAATTAGGGCAAAATGACAAAGAAACTTCGAAAGGATTGAGTGTTTGCTGGATATTTACATCAACCTCGTCACCATTCCTATATAGTTTAGTTATCAAGAGGTTCTCTGATTAGTTCAGCCACCCTCTAACCCAATATATCTACACTTTTAATTTTGTCTAAAGCGAAACACTTGCGGCATGATAGACAGACAGTTTTACAGTTCATGTCAAATAAAGTTCTACTGTGTCATACAGTGTAAGTTTGTAACCATCAGAACTTATGGCTCCTGGCATGTAATACTGAAGTCAAGACATTTGAATAGCTATTACGCTTACTATATGTGTTTTACATTTTCAGGATCATGTCAAACTTTAGGAGCATCTCACAGCAAAATCAGATATAGTAGACACTAGAGAGCAATCACTACCCGGGAGCACTGAAAAGACAATGTAAGTGTTTTTTAACAGTTTAACAGACAAACAATATGCAACTTCTGTGTGTTTCTCAGACTAACCTGCAGAAACAATAATTAGCTGCTTACTGGTAAGCATGTTTACTGTTACAATCAATTGGCTATTTGTCATCAACACTTGAGTCATCCTATGGTCTCACAATGCGTCTCGATGATATAAAGATGTCAGGCTATGAAAAAGGTACATAGTACAGGGAAGCATGCGAAAAAGGATACTCCTTTTGACCAGCTCCGTGGAAGGCAGGGTCCAAATCCTTCATAGACACTGACATGCTGGATGTTGATGAAGAACCCTACCCTGATTTCGTATCAAAAGAATGTTAAAACTAAGCAATTAAAATTATTGTTCTAACAACATCGCGTGAGAAAGGGCGAAAAGAAAAAATGATGACGACGGATTCCGATCATTCTCTCACCTGAGGCCAGAGGGCTGTACTTGCCGATCGAATTGGGGAATTCTTGGGAGAGAGAACGATCCGGGGAGGGGTGGGGGAAGCGGGGCGAAGTAGATGGCCATCCGTGAAAGACGGATTCAGGAGAAAGAAAAGGTAAAATGCGAGCGGCGACCGCATGCGCCTCCTCTCTCCAGCTTCTTCACAAAATCAGACCGCATGCGTCCGTTTGCTGCTTCTGCACCAGCATCCCGATGGGCGTTTTCTGCCCTATATAACCCCCCAAAAAAAATGGAGTTTCTTTTCTTTTATGGAGGATTTTTTTTTCTTAAGTAAGCACGTTAACGCGCGACAATACAACACTCGAGAACAGAAAACAACGCGGTGCACGCCTCATTTTTTTTTGTCTGCGTGAAAGAACAGCATAGAACAAGTAGAAACGTTGAAAAGTTGCGGTGCATTAACTAGACATTCCAAGCAGTTTAATGTCATTATATTATTCGCATGTAAAATACATTTTTAAATTCGCTGGCACAATTGAAAATCCTACAAAACAAGATCTATATAGATACTCCATGTTTTAAAACTGTTTTAATATGTCGACTTATGTTACGTAGTGTGGTAATAAGATCATCTCCGAGAGTTTCCAAGAATTTTTTCTCAAAACCATAGAGTTTTCTAACTCGTCAAAAAGTATTAGAATAAATAAATAAGACCATATCTAACTATTTTTAATAATTTAATCCTAAAATATAGAAGATAATTTTACCTCAATAATCTTGTAATATTTTTAAATTATCCTAACCACTTTTATATATTCTTTTTCTCTTGTAAAAAAAAGTCTATTTTTTACCATCAAACTATCGTCGAAGTTTAAATTTTAACAATGAAACTTTAAAACAAGAAATATTTGACCATACAACTATCAAAACCCGTTCGAGTGAAATTCACCATATGTCTCCAAAGTTAACGAGAGGTGTCATATAGGTCCATAAAATCTTAAAATGAGTTAGTTGGGGTCTCATCTATGTTCAAATGAGCGTTTACCCAACCCGGTAGTTGACGTGACATGTTGACTCAACGCTTACATGGATTGGATCTAACAGATGAGACCCACATATCAGCAGCAAGGATATGACATATGGGACCCACATTATTTTTCTAACTAGGTCACGAACATGGCGCAGAGTCTGGGCCCTGAGGCTTTCGATAGATTCCAGGCCATCTTTGTTGCACCGCTGTCAGCCTCTAAACATGAGCCCTTAAGGTGCTATTCTCTGATGGTGTGGATCCGGTGATCATGGAGCTGGACTTTACTGGGTTGGAGCATGATGCTCTTTAGCCGCTTGGTTCAGAGCCTCCTTTGGTGTTTACCACCGTGCTAGTTCCTCAAGGCTGTCGCTAAATAGTTCTTTTGTAATCACAACCATGTGAGCTTTGTAGGCGTTTGGCTCGGTAATCATCAATTACCGTTCAAGCTTTGTATTGTTAAACTCTACCTCTGCTTAATGAAAAACGTGCTTTGGCACGATCGCAAAAAAAAAATTCGATTATCTTAACGACCTCCAATGATAAAATTCAAAACTAAAAAGTTGTTATTCGAATCCTAGACTTACCACCCGACAGTAAAACTGAATCACTTCCAAAAGGGATTATGGGTTCTGCAGTGACTGCGTTAAAACTTGAAACAACCAGTCTTTTCTGTAACATGCTCACAAAAATCAGGTGTACCCTTCTACCAGGTACGCAATTGACTACCTCTTAAATTATCTAAAATTTCACCCTTCAAAAAGTTATTTAAAATTTGACAATTTTTTTTAAAAAAAATCATATTTTACAAGACCGAATAGATATATTACTAAAATATATTTCAAAACTTTTCGGTGCTAAAATCATTTTATTGTTTTTTTAATGATTGGAGGATACGACACGTCTCGCTTTGCTTACGTCGAGGCCACATACATGAGCACCGAAACATTGCTTGAGCATCCCTCCACTCGCGGGAAAATTTCAGCGGCTGACATATCTATCAAGTATATGCTAGGCATCGGAGTAATAGTACAATCTCTGCGTATGATGACCAATCTAGAAATGGTTGCACATCTGTTCTTGTTTTCGTTCCTCTAGTCTAGATCTAGGCTAGAGAGAAAAAAAATGAAACAATCTGACCATCACTTGTCCTCTACGCCAACCCACATTCCGTGGGGAAGCCACCGGGGAACCTCTTGGAGTCGGTGCAGTAGTTGTAGATCATGTACCTATCCTGCGCCTCCCTCAGCTGCTCCTGCTGCTTCATGTCGTCCAGCCCAGCCGCTCCGCCGTCGAACCAGTCGCCGCCGCCGGGCGCCGCGCCCTGCTGGCCGCACACCCACACGAACCCGCTCGGTTCGCAGCCGTTGGCGCGGTAGTTCCGGAAGTAGGCGATGAACGGCGCCTGGGACCAGTCCGTCTTGACGCGCCCGCCCTGCGTCGTCCAGTCGTCGGCGTCCCAGAGCACGCCGTTCAGCCTCATCGGCTGGTACACCGGGAAGGGGACGCCGGCGTCCCAGTGGTTCCTGAACCGCCGGATCGCCTTGTTGTCGACCAGGATCCTGAAACTCAGCTCATTGTCTCATTCGCTCACTTTTGAAGGAAAACTACTTGTTTCAGCAAAGACTAGCTCGTCACTGAAAACTAGCGACTGCTAAAAAAAAAAACTCCGTGGATGTAGTGAAGAACAGAGGGGCTTACAGGATCTCGTCTGAATTCCAGATGATGGAATAGGTGTGGAAGTCTAGAGTAGGGTCGAACCAGAGCCGGTACTGCACCTCCCTGCCACCGGACCCATTGGCGAAGATGTTGGTGTGCAGGGTGTACGGCTGGCCGGTCAGGTTGCCAAGGAACTCCAGGTCGATCTCGTCATGGGTCTTCCACTGCTTTTCAGACATCAGCTGCGCATAGCATCCATCACTCGATCAGAGCTAGGAACGAACGAACGAACGCTGGTTGTTCACTAGCTGGCATGCATGCATATGAATAATAATAATGTCAGATTAGTATCCTTTCATGTCTTGTTGCTCACTCACGTTAACCGTGGTGACGGTGCCGGCGGAGTTCCCCGGGACGAGCTTGATGTCGATGTCGATCCTGGCGAAGAGATAGGAGGTCTTGGACCGGAAACCCGACCCCATGACGCGGTCCAGCGACAGCCCGACGGTCTGGTCGTCGCCGTTGCTTCCGTTGAGAAGCTGCGTCGGGCCCCAGAGTATGTCGAGCTGGTCCGTCATGCGACCACCACCGGCAGCCACCGAAGAGAGGGCGACCTCCATCGTCGTGAGAACCGATAGGAAGGCTAGGCCTAGCCGGTGCCATGGTTCCCGGCTGCCGGTGGTGTGAAGCGAGGAATGGCGGGGGGGAGACGCAGTGACGAGGCAGTAGTCAAGTGCAGGCTATATGCAGAGACTAGGGGTCACTGGGCGATGTGACTCACTACCAGGGTCAAATTCCACGCAGCAAGATCGATCTCATCTCGAACCCAGCGACGCCATAGCTTGTTGGGAGGTGTAAACAAGTTTGGTTATAGGCTGGCTAACGAAGACCTAAGCATAGAAAAGGATGGAAGGATTAATTCATGAACATTGGCCAAAGGGGAACAGAGATGGGAAAGCCATCAAGAAGTTGACCTGATTTAATGTGCTCGTCACTAGAGCTATAGGACTTAGGGCCTGTATGGCAGGGCTCTGGCTTCTCTGAAAATGGCTCTGGCTCTGGCTCTTCTGAAGGAGCAGCTTCTCTGGAGGAGCTGAAGCCGTTCTGAAAAATGTTTGGCAAAACGGCTCCTTCTGTTTTTGTAGAATGGATGGAAGAGGGTGAATGTCCATATTGTCCTTGCTTTAACTTGGTTGTACATATGATCCTTTGATGTCACTTTGTCAAACGACTGACCAAAATTAACAAGGATAACATGTAAAATAACGTTACCTACTAATAGTGTTTGTTAGACTACAATAACGTTTACAAAAGTAGGAATGATATTGAAATATCATCAAACTACATGAATAATTTTTTTTCATTGTTAGCAGATCCTCCTCTTTCTGTGTTGCTAGCTCTTCGCAGGGGCCTCGCCGCCGTGCCGCTCATGGCCTCGCCGCCGTGCCGCGCGCCCGCGACGCCCATGGCCTCGCCACCGCTGCCACGCGCTCGCGTCCCCGTGGCCTCCATGTCTTTTCACTCGCGGATGGACGAGGAGCCAGGAGAAGCTCGGTTTTGGGGCTCCGTCCGCGCAGCACAAGAAATGCTCCGGCTCCCTTGCGGCTTCGGCAGCGGAGCTGGTTTACTCATCGGTGTTTGGCAGGGCTTCGGCAGGAGCCGAAGCCGGAGCCGAGCCGCTCGCAGAGCCCTGCCAAACGGCCCCTTAGGCACACGGTCATTTTAGGACAACTCGTGGCACGGTTCAAACTACAGCATGGCACGATAAATTTTATGTCTTACACGTAAGATCTTGGCACGATGAGTTACACGACACAAACTATATCTTTAACCGTGCTTGGGATAGCACAACATACTGCAGCGGCTGGTTGTGTGAGAGAGAAGCGTAAATACTAAATAGTCCCTCTATTGGTTCATGCCTTTTATACGGCCTAGCTCCTAACATAAATAATACAGTAGTAATTCAGGAAAACATGAGACATGTCCTTTTTTTTTTTGACAAACGAGACATGTCTTTTTTATGTACGGATATGTAGCCATTTGTTAGTTTTGGAAGACAATGGTCTCGCTCGCCTCTCAACACTCTCCATTGATGGCGACTCTCGCGCCGCTCCCGCTCCCACCGCCGCCACCACCGCTCCCCGCCCCGCCGCCCACCACCACCACCACTTCCCACTCCCCACCCATTGCTAGCCCGCCTGCCGCTTCGCCGCCGACGCCGGAGTGTCTTGCGCAGCCTGATCGTCGCCCCCAGGTCGAGTCGCGAAGCACTGCCACGGTTGCCACTGGAAGGCCGGATCTCGGTTTCCAGGAACTCCTCTTCCGCGATTGCTACACCACTGCTGCACCTTCGTTTTTGGGTACTCCTCTCCCGGAGCCAGGTACTCTCTGGCTTACTCCGTCCATCTCTTCCATTCCTGTTTGCCTGAACTCCAAGCAAGTTTCCAACATCCTTTCCTTCTGCCTAACCGCCCCTCCGATCATGTTGAAAGCTCGATCCAGTAGTTCGTCTGTGTTCTGGGTGACTGTTGCGTCGAAGAACGTTGCTCGTTTAATCGTGTTGAAGGGCTTCCTCGGCTTAGGCTCCATGGAGCTCGCAGACCATGGCGACGCGGCGCAGGCTGAGGCGGCGGCTGGCCGCCTTGCCTCGGCTTTCAATGCGCCCCAGCTACCGCCTACCCACTCGTGCGCAACTGTTCATGCCAGGGCGACAAAAAGGTCGCACTTGAGAGTTGAGACACCCTTTTCTCATTATGCTGTGCGCTTCCGGGTCCACCTCGCTTCCCCCTCTGCTTCCCATCCCGCAGGTTGCCGTCTCAGGGTCTGCTGTTGACCAACGTGGCCCTTCCTTTTACCACCACAGTGACTGCAGCACCGACCAGGGCACCTTTCGGGAAATTTCACCCGCTCCTGTGCAGGGCATGTAGAAGACTTACCTTGACGTCGCCTCGAGCCCTCCCATGTCTCATCCCCTCCTCCCACTCGCTTTCGGCCCTCTCCCAGTGCTTGCTTCCGCTGCCTCGCCGCCGACCACCACGTCAAGGACTATCGTGATCCCCTCCGGTGTCGCCATTGTGGTGGTTCCGGTCATATGGAGCGCAACTGCAGGCCTTCGCGCGGCCTTCAGCCGCATGCTTTGCCCACGGGGATTCGCAGCCCCCCCCCCTCCCGTGCCCCCACCGCCTCCTCCCCAGTGCCCCCCGCCTTCGCCTCCGCCACGCGCCGAGTCCCCACCCGCCACGCCTTCTCCGCCTCGCGCGATGTCGAAGCCTCCCCTCGGTCCCCACCTTTGTCCCCCGGAACCTTTCCCCTATCCTTTTGCGGATGTCGCCTCATCCAGCTCCACACCCCCTCTCCCATTAACCTACCTCTCTAACGCCTCTATCGCTGACTCGCCTTCACTTCCATCCTCTGACCCCCCTCTCGCTGCTCCATGCCTCCATTGTAGGCATTGTGCACACTGATCCCGCAAGCAACGTTCACCAGCAGAGAGGGTTCTTCTTTCTTCAAAGTAGTCAAATAGGCATCTAATGAAGTGGCAATTGTGTTGTGATAGATGGAGGGGGGAGCGATGCTTATGCAGCCAAACCTTTGACGCTTGCCTTACCGCCTTGACCTGAGCAACCAGAACCTGTGCCTTATCCCCAGAACGAGGTACATAATGCCAAGACAGGGTAACCAAGGGGAGGAAGGAGGGATCAAGGAGCCACGATCTTTCTAGCCGGAAGGAGTTGGGCTTTGGGATGTTAGTCTGGATGGAAGCAAGCAAAGGGGTGTGGTCGGAGGTGGGGCGGTTGCCCGAGGAGAGGGTGGTGCCAGGGAAGGCATCACTGAAGGCAATGTTAATGAAAGCTTGATCCAGCCAAGCAAGAGTGGGAACAGCTCGTTTGTTAGTCAAAGTAAATAGCTGGTCTAGAAGCGGAAGCTCGATAACCTAGAGCGCATCGATGGCGTGGTTGAACTGCGCCGCGAGATTAGAGTTGAACGACGACGTGTTCTTATTAGTTTGAGAACGAGTGAGGTTGAAATCGCCAATTAGAAGCCAGGGATCAGAGATGGAGGCAGCGATAGTAGCGAGCTCGACGAGGAAAAGATCGGTGAAGCTGTGATCAGAAGGGCCATACACGTTGGTGACCGCTAACCGGAGGTCAGAGGTGGTAGAACGGAGGAACACAGTATTGGTGTAGTCAAGGGAGGAGTGTGCGGTCATGGAGAAGAGGGCAGAGCACCACACGGTTAGGAGGCCACCGCGGGAACCATAGGCCGGGGTCACATGGTAGGCGTCAAGGTTAGAGGGGAGGAAGGCGCAAATGCAGCGATCGTTAACGGCATTGAGCTTCGTCTCCTGGAGGCAGGCCAAGTGCGGATGGCATTTGGCAATGTTGTCATGAACAGCAACGCCTTTTTCATCCTGACCAAGACCACGGACATTCCAGGAGAGTAAGATGAAATTGCGATACGAGCGATAAATGGGTTCGAACTGATACAATAGGTGGATAAAAGGGTAGTAGAGTAGGTGGAGGTGAGGTCTAAGGCGGCATACATGAACGTCGGAGCAGCGACGATAGACACAACGAGGTACAACAGATTAGCCAGGGCATGAACACACCGCACCCCGGGGGGAAGCCAAAGAACAAAGGAGGCACTAATCATGGATAACGCCTAGTGGCCACCACCACCGCAACCGCACGCCGCCCGGAGCTGTCGAGGCCGGCCGCCTTAGCCAGGCGGTTCAGGTCCAGGGCATTGAAGGTGTTCTTCTTCTTGAGGACCCGGCTTGAGGAGACCTGCTTCTTGAGGTCGTTGGAGCAAGGTGCGAGGCTCTCCCGCAAGGCCTTACGGGACACCGCCTTGGCGGTCATGTCGGTGAAGGTTCCAGGGTCCCTTGCCGCTAGCCTAGTGCTGGCGCGCAGAGGCGGGCGTCCAGCAGAATGCGACGTAGAGGCAGGCGGACGGCGTCCATGGTGTGGGCGCAGCTGTTGAGGCAAAACAGTTGGGGAAGCCGGGGGCGCGGCGGTGAGTTGGCAACATCAGCATGCCCAGTCGGGGAAGGCGGAGGTGGCGGCGGCGAGGTGTCGACGTCGGCATGCCAAGGCAAAGCAAGGACCTCAGCACGCCAAAGCAGAGCAAGAACCGGGGTGGAACGAAGCGGTAGAGATGGCGCCCGTTCCCCTAGAGCCAGAGGCACCGAGGGGAGGATGAAAGGGAAATGGGGTAGAGGCGCCAGAGGGTAGGCACGGATGACATCGTAGTAGAAGGTGTCAAAACCTAGGAGGCAGCGGATCTCGACGAACGGAAGCGGCAAGTCCTGGACCGACAGGCAAGCGGGGCCGAACGGCTGTGGCGCAGCATCACCCGGGGGGCCGTTGGCAGGACCACAGGGTGGCGGCGGACCACGGGGCAGCGGCGGGCCACCTCTTGCGCCCCTGTTGCTGGGGAAGTAGGGGCGCAGACGGCCATCAGTGTCGGTCTGGTCCTCGTGGCGCCAGTGCTTGATCTTGTCGATTTGGAAGGTGGTGCCCAGACCATTCGAGTTGGCGATGTGGAGGTCGTCGGGAAGCCGATCTGGACGGTTGCGCGCGAAGACGACGTGAACCGAGGAGAAATCCCCGGACAGGCAGTCGGAGTCCACCTCGACAACAATCCCAAGCTGTCAGAAGGAGGCCGGGATGCCCTGGTCGTTCCAGTGCTCAACCGGGAACCTGGTGGCCGAGATGGCGACATGCCAGTTCGGGGCGAGGGGAAAGCGGTTCTCCATCTCCTCCGAGCGCACTAGGTTGACACGCCTACCACCATGGATGATAGGGGAGTGGGCGACAACCATGTCTCGCTCAATGGAGGAGTCGAACAAGAGCAATATGTTCCCTGAGAGGAGGGAACATGCGGAAGTGGACGTCGGGAGCCACAGAGAATACTGCAGCCTGGATAAACGGAGCCGGCTGTCGGTCGGCGCGTCGATGTTGATGTGTAGGCGTAGGCGACACGCAAGGCAAACTCCATGTCTCCGTTCGTGGGCATCCAGAGCACGCCCAGATCTATCTCAGAGTTCGACATCAAGGGCGCCGGGGAGCCACGGAAAGTGGATCCATCTGAGTCCACCTCGGTGGTGGTCAGCGAGATGTTGTCGGTGAAGGCATGCGGGGGAGAGCTTGGATAGGCGCAGTGACCGCCATGGGGGCAGGGTCGCTAGGAGAAGGGAACGCCTCACAGGTGAAGCCTAGTAAACTGGGCTCACCCAGCCCATTGTGGTAGGAGAGGTGGTGATGCGAAGCTCCCAGGGACCTCGAGAGGGGTCAGGACGCTGGATCCGAAGGAGAACCGAAAACCCGAGGTTGGAAAGCGAGCGATGGAGGCTACACCTCTTCCTCTGTCAACGAGCAGCCTACTGGAAGCAACACAGGAAGATGAGATACCTGTAGGAAGGAGATGCCAACACAAAGTTCTTCCATGCCAGGGCCTCTTGTCGCCGAAGAAGGAAGCACATCTCTGTTATTACGGTGGATGACAATCAGCTCACCAACCATGAAGCCAAGACTCAAACCTTAACGGACTACTACAAAGCGATTCTTGGAGTACATGACCAACCGATCTGGAATTTTGATGTTGCTGCACTTTACCCAGCTCCAAATTATGACCTATCTGACCTGGTGGCTCCGTTCAATGAGGACGAAGCAATGCAGGCTATGCTCTGTATGAACATCAACAATGCTCCTGGGCCGGACGGGTTTGGTCCGGCTTGGTACTCTTCAGCTTGGTCAGTTGCCAAGGAGGATGTCATGCAGTTGCTCTGGGCATTTCAACATGGGGTTGCCGATCTCAACCGAATCAACAGAGCTCATATTGTCCTTGTCATGTGGGGACGCATGTACACCAGGTGCCGGAGGGCCCGCGACGTACGCAGGGCTGCGGAACCAGCGGCACGCGCGGGGAGTGCGCACGGTGACACGCAGGGCCAGGCCACCACCAGTGGCTAAGTTAGGAAAGATAGCGTAGCTTTCTATTTTCAGTTCCTAAATTTCAGGAGCGTTTAGCTCTGATCGGTTGAGACCGGTGGCCATATATTCCTGTAATCGCACATTGGTTGGGCAAGTAAGATTATTATCCCATCTAGTCTCTCTCTCTCTCAACGAAAGCCTACGGCAGAGGGGCAAAACCTCGCCGGAGAAGACGGACCGAGGCTACGATCTCCGTAGCTGAGGGCCAGCTACCCTAGGGCTCGACGCCCTTGACAACCTGGTATCACGGTCCCGGTGATCCTTGCCATCTCGCTCCACCTCGCCGACCCCAGCCGCCGCGCCAACCACCCCCACGTCCCCATCTACCGCGTCCTCCTGCATCCACGCCATGGGTGATCAGGGCGACCTCAAGACTACCGTGGAGTCGCTCGCTGCCGCCGTCGCAGCCCTGCAAGCCACCATGGAGGCCAACGCCAAGGCGATCGCCGCCTTGTCCTCCGATCGTTCGTCCTCCTCGGGCAGCAAGCCGGGCTTCGGCGAACACCACAACGACCGGCCGCCGAAATTCCAGAAGCTGGATTTCCCGCGCTATGATGGCAAGTCTGACCCTTTGATCTTTCTCAATCGCTGCGACTCCTATTTTCATCAGCAGCGAATCATAGAGGAAGAGAAGGTGTGGATGGCATCCTATAACTTGGAGGATGGCGCCCAGTTGTGGTACTACCAAGTCCAGCAGGACGAGGGGACCCCTTCCTGGCGCCACTTCAAGGAGCTCCTCCATCTTCGCTACGGTCCGCCCCTCCGCTCCAACCCCCTCGGCGAGCTCGCCGCGTGCCACCGCACGGGGACCGTGGAGGAGTATCAGGACCGGTTCCAGGCGCTGTTGCCTCGCGCCGACCGCCTGGACGAAGTGCAACGCGTCCAGCTGTTCACGGCGGGGCTCCAGCCTCCCTTGAGCCACGACGTGGAGATCCACAACCCTCAGTCGCTGGCGGCGGCCATGAGCCTCGCCCGCAAGATCGAGCTGCGGAACAGCTACATCGCGCCGGCCACGCGCGCGCCCCTACGCGATCCTCAGTGCGATCGCCCTCTTCTTCCAGCACCAGCGGCGCGCCTCGCTCTGCCGGCACCCACGGCCGACAAGACCGCGCCGACCACGATCACGGTGGAAGGCCGGCCCATCAAGCGGCTGACACAGGTGGAGCAGGAGGAGCGCCGCCGCCTTGGCCTATGCTACAACTGCGATGAGAAGTACGATCGTGGGCACAACCGCGTCTGCAAGCGGTTGTTCCTCCTCGACAGCGTGGTGGAAGAAGATGACGCCGCCGCCGACGCCGCGGCGGATGTGACACCAGGCACGAAGACGCCGGTCTTCTCCTTGCACGCGGTCGTGGGCGTGCCGATCTACGACACGATGCAGATCAAGGTGTCGCTGGGCGCCACCACCCTCATCGCGCTCCTCGACAGTGGTTCCACCCACAACTTCATCACCGAGGCGGCGACGTTGCGTACTGGGCTGCCTGTCCAGCCCCGACCACGCCTCACGGCGACCGTGGCCAATGGCGAGAAGGTCGCCTGCCCCGGCGTGATCCGGAACACGCCTGTCACCATCGACAACACTGACTTCCACGTCGATCTCTTTGTCATGCCACTTGCAGGGTACGATCTGGTCCTGGGAACTTAGTGGATGGCCACCCTGGGACCGATCGTCTGGGACTTCGCTGAGCGCACCATGTCCTTCACGCGCCATGGGCGTGACTTCTGCTGGATGGGTGTGTCGACGCCCAGTGCGTCGGGGCTCTACGCCGCGACGGCCAGCGAGTCCCTCCTCGATGAGCTACTGGCCTCCTTCGGGGATGTCTTCGCCGAGCCCACGGGACTGCCCCCCAAGCGCGCCCGCAACCACGGCATCGTCCTCAAGCCGGGCGCGCCGCCAGTGGCAGTTCGCCCGTACCGGTACCCAGCGGCCCACAAGGATGAACTGGAGCGGTAGTGCGCCGCCATGATCGAGCAGGGCATCGTCCGCCGTAGTGACTTGGCGTTCTCCTCGCCGGTTATCCTCGTCAAGAAAGCGGACGGCTCATGGCGATTCTGCGTCGACTATCGGGCCCTGAACGCACTCACCGTCAAGGATGCGTTCCCCATCCCCGTCGTTGACGAACTCCTCGATGAGCTCCACGGCGCACGGTTCTTCACCAAGCTGGACCTGCGGTCGAGGTATCATCAGGTGCGGATGCGACCGGAAGATGTCCACAAGACGGCGTTCCGCACCCACGATGGCCTCTACGAGTTCTTGGTGATGCCGTTCGGGCTGTGCAACGCCCCGATGACATTCCAAGCCCTCATGAACGATGTACTCCGGCCATTCCTGCGTTGCTTCGTACTTGTCTTTTTTGATGATATTTTGATCTATAGCAAGACATGGGCGGATCATCTTCGTCACCTCCGCGTCGTCCTCTCCAAGCTTCGGCGACACCAGCTCTTCGTCAAGCGCGCCAAGTGCGCCTTCGGTGTCGCCTCTGTCGCATACCTCAGCCACGTCATCTCTGAGGTAGGCGTCGCCATGGACCCGGCCAAGGTGCAGGCCATTCACGGCTGGCCAGTACCTCGCTCGGCGCGGGCGGTGCGTGGCTTCCTCGGCTTGGAGGGGTACTACCGCAAATTCGTACACAAGTATGGCACCATCGCCACACCGCTCACAGCCCTCCTAAAAAAGGATGGCTTCTCCTGGAATGAGGCGGCGGCCGCGGCGTTCGACACGCTCAAGTCCGTGGTCAACTCGGGCCCGATCCTCGCCATGCCAGACTACGCCAAGATGTTCGTCGTCGAGGGCGACGCCTCGTTGCATGGGTTCGGCGCGGTGCTCGTTCAGGACGGCCACCCGGTTGCGTTCTTCAGCCGCCCCGTCACGCCCCACCATCACGCCCTCGCCGCTTATGAGCGGGAGCTCATCGGCCTCGTCCACGCCGTCCGACACTAGCATCCATACCTATGGGGCCACTGCTTCCTCATCAAGACGAACCACTATAGCCTCAAGTACTTGCTCGATCAGCGGCTCGCGACGATCCCTCAACACCACTGGGTGGGGAAGCTTTTGGGCTTTGACTTCTCCGTCGAGTACAAGCCTGGGACGGCGAACGCGGTGGCCAATGCTCTCTCGCGACGCGACACGGCGGACGAAGGGTCCATACCGGCCCTCTCGGCTCCTCGCTTCGACTTCGTCACATGTCTCCGCCAGGCACAACTCACCGGCCCAGCCCTCGTCGCTATCCAGGACGAAGTGCGCGCGGGCTCCCGCGGGGCACCGTGGACGGTCGTCGACAACATGGTGCAGTTCGTTGGGTGCCTGTACATTCCCCCGGCGTCCCCCCTCGTTCAGGAGATCATGGCCGTTGTCCATGAGGACGGACATGAAGGAGTCCAGCGCACGCTACATAGACTGCGCCACGACTTTCATTTTCCTAACATGAAGCAGCTCGTGCAGGATTTTGTGCGCGTGTGCGCCACTTGTCAGTGGTACAAGTCGGAGCACTTGCACCCAGCCGGGCTCCTCCTTCCGCTGCCCGTGCCGCAGGGGGTCTAGACGGACATCGCCCTCAACTTCGTCGAAGCTCTGCCTCGCGTTCGGGGCAAGTCGGTCATCCTGACGGTGGTGGACAGATTCAACAAGTACTGCCACTTCATCCCCTTGGCACACCCGTACTCCGCCGAGTCCATCGACCAAGCATTCTTCGCCGACATCATTCGTCTACACGGCGTTCCCCAGTCCATGGTGTCCGACCGTGATCCGGTCTTCACCTTAATGTTCTAACGCGAGCTCATGCTCCTGATGGGCACCAAGCTGCACATGACCACCGCCTTCCACCCCTAGTCGGATGGGCAATTGGAGGCCGCCAACCGCGTCATCATCATGTACCTACGCTGCCTCACTGGGGATCGACCGCACCAGTGGCTGCGATGGCTTCCGTGGGTGGAGTTCGTCTTCAACACCGCTTACCAGACTTCTGTGCGGGGCACGCCATTCCACGTCGTCTACGGGCGTGACCCACCATCCATCCGGTCTTATGAACCGGGGGACACGCGAGTGGCCGCCGTCGCCAAGATCATGGAGGAGCGCGAGGAGTTCCTGGCGGATATTCGTTATCGCCTTGAACAGGCTCAGGCGCTACAAAAGAAGCACTATGACAAGACGCACCGTGACATGTCGTATCAGGTCG